GGGGGGTCTGGGACTGCCTGCGGTCAGCCCCAACCGGTCGGATCGGGTGAGCTGGAAATGCTTGGGGGGAGGGAAGGGTTGCAAAAAGGAGATCCCAAGACAGGGGCGGGGTGAGCAGCAGGTTTGCCCGCCGACTTTGCTTTGAGTCGAGTGTGGTTGGATTCTGGATGGTGCCTGTGAGCCTCTTTTTCTGCTTTCTCAGTCAGGCCCATATGAACGTGTGATGCTGCATTGCGATATGCCAGTGATGGCGAACCTTTTAGAGACCGAGTGCCCAAACTGCGACCCAAAACCCACTTATTTATCAGGAAGTGCCAACACGGCAATTTAACCTGAATACTGAGGTTTTACTTTAGAAAAAACAACTCATACATTAACTTAAGATGATCCAAACATAGTAAGGAAAGCAAACCCAAATGCTTTCATTTACTTAAAATTATTTGGCAGAGAATCCGACACTTTAATTATGGTCTGGGCCTGGCTGGGGCAATGGCACGCGTGCCCAAAGAGGGGGCTCTGAGTGCCACCTCTGGCACCTGTGCCATAGGTTCGCCACCACTGCGATATGCAATACAGGTGAAGGCGATGTAAATCCTTTTCCTGAGGTGGCTGAACAGCACTGGATACTCTGGGAGCACAGCCCAGGGCAGTGTTACTCCAGAGTAGCTCCATTGAGGTGGCTGAAGGCAGCCTGGCTGAACCTCCTCATGGAAGAAGAAGAAGAGATTGGATTTATACCCCGCCTTTCACTACCCAAAGGTGTCTCAGAGCGGCTTACAAACTCCTTTCCCTTCCCCTCCCCACAACAGACACCATGTGAGGTAGGTGGGGCTGAGAGAGCTCTTGACAGAAACTGCTCTTTTTTCAAGAACGGCTCTTATCAGGACTACGGCTTGCCCAAGGTCATCCAGACAGCTGCAAGTGGAGGAATGGGGAATCAAACGCAGTTCTCCCAGATTAGAGTCCGCGCACTTAACCACTACACCAAACTTGCTCTTCTTCCTGGAGGTGTCTTAGAGCGGCTTACAAACTCCTTTCCCTTCCCCTCCCCACAACAGACACCCCGTGAGGAATGTTGCCTCTAAGCTGTGGAGTTTCGTGAGCAAAAATTCTACTTGGTGAACTACTGGCATTGAAGTTGTGAGCGAATGATTT